TGTCAGGGTCACATCCGCATGTGGGTCGCCTGCTCCGCCGCACCGACCAGTGTTGCCTGTGCCTCTGGCAGTGTATCATCCTAACACCAAAACAAGACTTGATCATTGTTTGGAACCAGGTTCCTGTTCCCACCCCTGCACTCCAACATGCTCTTCTTTATGGTCTTTGCTCTTCCGCATTCATTGTAGAATCCACTTTTCCGGTTACACATGCGTGCGCGCAACACACGCAAACACACATGCAGATCAGATTTTGATTGAAATTATATTGAATTTACAGACAAGTATGAGTAGAATTGATGTCTTTATTAAAATGTTGATTTTTCTTATCTTCAAGTGTGAGTTCTTTATTTAGTTTTTTTTTTTCTTTCTATGGTCCCACTGTGCTGTTCAGGCTGCCTTGAACTTGCCTCCATCCTCCTGCCCCAGCCTCGTGAGTGCTGGGATTACAGGCATTTGCCACCATACCTGGCAGGACTTATTCATGTCATTTGAAATAAGTTTCCATGGTGTTCTTCATACAAATTGTGTACATCCTTTAATATTCCTAGGCATTGTCTAGGTTTTGTTGCTGTAGAAGTGTTGGCTTTGGAAAATTACATTTCACTTGGCATGGCAGCACATGCCTGTAATCCCAGCACTTGGGAGACTGGAACGGGACTGCAAATTCCAGGCCAACCTGGGCAACGTAGTGAGACCTAAAATTAAAATTTTTTTAAAAGATTGGGGCCTTGGCTTTAATTCCCAGTATTGCAAAGGGAGGGAGGAAAGGAGGAAGAGAGGAAAAAAAAGAAGGAATTATACTTCCTCTCTCTCTCTTTTTTTGCTGATATATAGAATTACATTGACTTTTTTACATTATTCAGTTCACCAGACATCTTGCTAAACCCTTCTAGTATTGCTAATATGTTATATTAAATCCTTGAATTTTCTATGTAGATAATTATACAATTTCTGCAAATTGTTGTTTTATTTCTGCCTAATTTATGTGCCTAATAATTAATAATTGTTTTGTAGCACTGGATTTACAGTACAGGTTGACTTTAGAAGTAATGATGGTGGGCATCCTTGCATTAATCGTGATTTTAAAGGGATACTCGCCAGGCGTGTTGGCGCATGCTGTAACCCCAGCATTGTGGGAGGCTGAGGCCCTACTGGAGGTTTGAACCCAGCCTGGTCAGGTTAGTGACTTAGCAACACCTTCTCAAAAGAGAAAAATGGGAAAGGTAGGGATATACCTCAGGCATAGGCCCTGGGTTCAATCCCTAGTGTGTGTTAGGGGGCTTCTTTCAATGTTTCCTTCTTAGTTTTTTTCCAGTCTAACTTGATGAGAATGTTTATTGTGAATGGATATTAAATTTTACCAGCTTTTTCAACAACTACCAAAATGACTGTACCATTTTTTTTCTTTCATCTGGTAGTATGGTGATAGACTAGTATGGATTTGCTCACGTTAGGCCATCTTGGTATTCCTGTTCCTGGATTTAGTTTACTTTTTTACTTTTTTTTTTTTTTTTTTTCCGAGACAAGGTTTCACTGTGCAGTTTGCTGTCCTAGAATTCACTATGTAGCCCAGGTTGGCCTTAAACTCACAGGGATCCGCATGCCTAAGCCTCCCACGTGCTAAGATTACAGGCGTGCACCACCACATCTGGCGCTTTTCTAATGTTTAGTATTTTTGGGTCTATACTTAGAGTGAGGCTGTCCTGAATTTTTTGTTTTTCATGGTTTATCTGGTTTTGCTGTCAGCATTATAACTAGCCTGCTAGAATTGTATTTGGGGTATCATCTCCCTTTCTGTTCTCAAAGTATTCTGTTTTTGTAAAAACTTGGAGGATTTGCCTCCAAGATTGTCTGGGTTTGGTGTTTCCAGTAGGAAGATTTTTACCTGCAGTTTCAGCTTGTGTAGCACTTCTTAGTTCCATCAGGTTTTGTAATTAATTTTGAATCAATATTTATTACTTTTTCTTGACTTTGTCAGTTTTATACTGTTTTCAAATTAATATAACATTCTTCATAGGATTCTTTATCTTTCTGTCCTCTACTGGATCTGTACTTGTGCTTTTGTTACTCATAATATGGTTTTATTTGTAACTTTTCTTATCTTGCTTCAGTTGTCCTAAAGGTTTTATAAAACTCTCTGATACATAAATTTCTGCCCTTATGTTTATCTTTTTGTTTGTTATTTCTCTTGAGCTGTTTTTTTTTCCCTCTCCTGTGCTTCTTAACTTTGGCACATAATTCATTATTTCTATCATTTCTTTTTTCTCAACATAAATATTTGAGACTAAATTTCCTTTATAAATACTTTGTGTCATAGGTTTTGGTAGTACTTAAACATTTCAGTTAGGAGTATTTTTTAGTTTTTTTAGGGTTTTTTTCTTTTACCTCTGGGTGCTTTAAAAATATTTTAAAATTTCCAAATAGATGAAGTTTTATGTTTTTACTTTAGTAATTGACTTTTAACTTAATTGTAATGCGGGCATAGAACATAATCTGTGTAATGATAGTTCAATGAAATTTCTTGTGACCTGTTAGTACAAGATTAACTTTTGTAAATAGGATATGGGTGCCTGAGAAATATGTGCATTGTGTACTTACTAGGTAAAAAGTTGTATAAATGTCCGCTAGCTCATCCTTGTTAATTGCATTCTTTGGATAGTCTACAGTTTTACTAATCTTTTGTCTTTTTGTTATATCAGTAATTGAGAAAAGTATGTTACCATTTTGTGTTTTCTTCCCTGAAGTTATATCTACTTAGGCTTTTTATGTATATAGAGTATATAATTAGTTAAGGATTGTGGTCTTTTTCTGGCAAGTTGAAACTTGTACCATTATATAGGGACCTTTTGTGGTCCTAGTGATGCTTTCGTTTTCAGAGCTGTTAAGTCTCACACTTCCATAGTTGACTCTGCTTTCCTTTAGCAGTTTGCCTAACTTGTAGTTTTTATGATCCTTCTGTTCAGGTGGCTTCTGATCAATAGCATGTAAGTGAATTTTGTTTTAAATCCAGTATGAAAATACTGCCTTTTCGCTAGAAAGTTCGTTGTTCACCTTGAAGGTTTTCCTTTAGAGTTTGATTTGTTTCTACTTGTGATACCTAGTTTAGGCCTCCTTGAAGGTCTTGGTGCTTATAGAGGAAGCAGAGGTGGCTTCCTCACCTTGTTTGGTGGCCCCGGATTTAGTATTCCGCTGAATTGTGTGATTGGCACCAGCCCTTGGACCCGTTCTACCATTCCTTACCACTCTAGCCACGAGGATACACTATTTTGAGCAGGGGTGAAGGTTGTTGTGTATATCCCTGACCCTTGTGAGGTCAGGGTTGCTTTGGGCAAATTTTTTATGTAGCATGTAGTTACTCTGCAAGGTTAAGGTTCCTTAGGGCACCTTTTCTTTTCAGCATGGGGGATTGAACCCAGGGCCTCCACACTAAGCTGCATCTCCAGCCACCCCTTAGTCCCCATTGCAGATGGGGTCTTGTTAGGTTGCCCAGGCTGGGCTCTAGCTTGTGATCTTCTTGCCTCAGCCTCCTGGAGTGCTGGAATTATAAGTGTGCCCCACCATGCTCCACCCTTGGTGAAATCTTGATCATTCTTTTTTCTTAATATTTTGACTGCACCAGTTACAGTGTCTTATAAATTCCTCTAAAATGTCTCTCTGCTGCCTGCCCTCCTCTCCATTTCACTATCACTCCATGCCCAGAGCCATTACCTCCCCGTCTGTTGGGCTCACATGGCCTGTACTGTCGGGGTCAGACCCTTTCACCTGGCATTTCAGTCTCCCCAGAATCTAGGTTCACCCTGCTGCCCCGGCAGGGGCTTCTCCTTAGTGCTCGGTCAGACTGTGCCTGTGTGTGCCTGCGCCCAGGTGCTCTCCCCCTGCGATCCCTGCCTGTCCTCCGCTCTGCTGATTCCAGGTCCCCACCCTCACCCGTGAACGATTCCCTTAATGATGAAATGGCTTGTTCATTCATCCCTTTGCCTTCGAACTATTTCTTAGTGTTTGTTTTTGTTGAAGTGTTTTTAAAAATCAGCAGATTGGAACGGATCTTTATGGTGACCCAAGTTAATCTCTGAAGACTTCAGGCCTCTCCGTTATCGCACTCATAGCAGTAGCTTCTAATATTACAGGAGAGTGTATATAATGTAGCGAGCATCCAGAGACTAGGGGAAGGGTTCACTATGCTTCTGTTTTTCCTCAAAATGCTGAGTAAACTCCTTGACTGAACAGTATATTCACTGGCTGAATAAATGAATCCTCTACATTAAAAACATACAAGCTTTTTTCCAGAGAGCTAATAAGGGAGTCTTCCTTGTTTCTCCCTCCCCCTAGCCATTCATCACAGTTTCTGGTTCTGTTTCCAAATATGGGCAGGTGCGGATGTCTACAAAGATGGGAGATACACTGTAGCCTAGCCCTTTTCTTTACGTAGCTCCTGTTAGCCTTGGTTTTTATTTTCCTACATCTTTAAATTATGTTTGAATTTTTTCATTTTTGCATTTACAATGGTTGGCGTATGAATTATAATGGAGTCTGTTGAATGTTGAGCATGTTTCCTATGGTAGTTTAGACATGTTTAGCAAGGACTCTTTCATTTGGTTAAGTAATAGAAATGATGTTGTGGATTGAAATTGTACATAAAAATTTTCAACCACATCAACTTCGTTGTGGGCACTAAGTATATACCTTGTACACACTTAACAATTATTATTTTTTCTGTGAGGTAAATAGAAATATTGCCTTTAATTTGTAATTATTTATATGATACACATAATTTTGGAAATAAGGTATGTATCCACGGCAAGGATGATTATTATATAAAGTTAGTGCTAACTTCTAGAATGTTAAATGCTTTATGTAGACAGAGTACATAATATTTGATTTTAAGTTAAGTTTTGGTGAAAATACAGAAATGAAATCTGCATATTATAAGTGTTTCCATTTTAGAGCATGTCAAAAGAATAAGCATAGTAATTTGAATGCTCTATTTTTATTTCTAGAAACCAGCAAATATCCTAGTAATGGGAGAAGGTCCTGAGAGGGGGAGAGTCAAAATTGGTAGGTAATTATTCCTAAAGTCATTGATTAAGAAACTGAAGTGACTGCAGAGGTGGTTGCCCTTTTTAATACTTTTTTATTTAAGTAGTTAATTTTAATACTATGTTCTCATAATTTTTTGGAAAAGTTGTCGGAAAAGGTAGGTAGATAGTATATAAAACCTGTAATCCGTTTCCCAAAATCAGATCCGGTAATTCTAAGTTGAGGCATCCCTTGGAGTTGACAAGCAAGTCCGCAAAAACATTTACTGCTGTGCAGTAGCCCAAGCATGTGTGTACACAGCACCACTGTCTTTCATAGTCACCCTCAGTATGATTCCTTAAATCTTACTTTTTATCTTAGCATTGCCAAGTCACTCCTTGAGCATGTCCTCCAGACCCTAACCTGCAGGGCACGGGGACCCTCAGAGCCTCCACCCACTTTGCTATCCCTGACCTGCGTGTCCTGTGCCACATACTAACATACCCTTTCTGATGAGTGTATGTTTACTCTCTTCCTTGCCTGTCTCAGTTTTAGACACTGCAGGAGGCTTTTATGTATATTGATACTTGCTTTGCAACCTGGAGGTTCCAAAAGAAACCAGTCTCTCTTTCTCTCTCTCTCTCTCTCTCTCTCTCTATATATATATATATATATATATATATATATTATATTATATATTTGGAGAGAAAATGAGCTAAGTAATACTTTATTCTAACTTCTTTTAGTAGAAATTGACTGATTGAACTGGACATGGTGTTACACACCTGTAATCTCACTACTCAGGAGGTTGACGCAGGAGAATTGCAAGTTCAAGGCCAGCCTAGAGTATATAGTGACACTGTGTTTCAAAAAAAGAAAGCGGGGGAGGAGGGAGGAGGAGAGTTACATTTATTAGAAGTCCTTTATTAGAAGAATTTAAAAATAAACTTTATTTCATCAGCCTACTTTCTTCACTATTAAAAAACACTATAGTAGAGGTGATTTGCTACCTGCCCTACTATAAATTCATGCTTTCCTAATTCAACCAAGCTTCCCTATTGCTTGGTTTTCTACTTCTTCAGTTACTTCCTTAGCCTAACTTCTGAAGAAGCTGTACTAAAACAATTTCCCTTTCATTAAATCTCTACTCTGTGTTTGCTAAGACTGAGCTTCTTTCAAAAATGTGATATTAAGCTGGGCACGGTGGAATGTGTCTGTAATCTCAGCACTCAGGAGGCTGAGGCAGGAAGATTGTTATGAGTTGAAAGCCAGCCAGAGCTACATAGCAAGACTCTGTCTCAAAAAAAGAAAAACAAACAAAATGTGATGTTAATTAAGTGTTGTAGCTGCTTTCCTTCTCTTCCCTTCCCCTCTTCTCCACCACTCCTTACTTGTTCCTGTTCTTATTTTATACTCACTTTTTTTTCTTAGAGGTATTTATTGAGTAGCTACTTTTTGCCAGGCACAAGTGAAAAAGAGATACATTCCCTCCCTTTGAGTGACAGTAAAATATAAAGAGTATGGTAGATGGTTTCAGACCACTTTGTTTTACATAACCACCCTTTAAAAGTAGGTATCATAGATGAGGAAAACTGGATTTAGAGAGGTTATGGACTGCTCACTTTTTCAAAGTAGGATTTGGATTCCTGGACCTCAGGGTCTCTACAAAGAAGGCCGCCTTGGTGATGTCAGAGAGAACTGGTCTGGCTTCACAGACCTTCACTCTGTTAACACAGCTCTGCTGTGAAAGAGCCGCAGAGGTGACTTGCTGGCCTCAAGATGTCTTCCTGAGTGTTCTTGCTGGCCTCAAGATGTCTTCCTGCCCCACTGAAATTGCCCCATCACAGTATTGCCATTTTCCCCTTTGTAATTTTCTTCTCTTCCTTGAAAACATTCATATTTCCCTTCACAGTTTAAAACAGATTTTACATCCATCTTGATTTTTCAACATTTGTTTTCTTCCTCCTGTTCTGTACTTGTGGAACACCCTTGATGTTCACCCTTGGTTCTAGCTGCACCTAGCATGCAGGTCCATCTCCGTATCAAGACTGCTCTCTCAGGGAACAACTCTGAGCTCTGCCTTAGACTGTCTTCTCCCGTGATCTAGATGGTGTTGTGTAATTCTGTTTCTCCACCCACAACTTCTGCCCTCACCTCTGCATTTGATTCATTGTTGCCTCTTACTATTGACTCATTGTTTTAAAACACTGTACATACTAGGTTGGGACATGGCCTCCTTTCCCTTATTGGGCAGTTGATAAATTGTGGCCTTAACATTCTGGATTCTTGGAAAATGATCTTAAGATCTGGATCATCTACTCTCTCGCTCTAGCTGAATTCTTTGCATATCATCCTGGCAACTTGTTTTCCTTTGTCCCATACCAAATTCATTGTCATCTTCTGTTCTGTCATATTTGTACCACTCATTACATTTAACCCAGTCACCCCAATCCAAAGTCTTCTCTTTTTACTACTTCTCAACATAAAATTCTATACCTGGTCAGGCCAGTTGTTACCTTATTGTTTAGAGTGTTAGGATTGTATCGCTCCTCGGCCTTTTGGCTAAGATCAAGTGTAGAATTTTAGGATTGTAATTCTACCCAAGCTTAGGGGCACAGCCAGGGTTAAAAATAAGCAATAATTAATAATATTAATTAATAAAGGTCTATGATCCATTAAGTAATTGATTACATTGCTAATAAATTTTAATAGCGCACATTAAATTTTTATTTTTTTATTATTTTTCAGAGTGCTAGGGTCAACGCAGGGCTCCACATTTACTAGGTGAGAGCTCTTCTGTGGAGCTACTCCCTAGACCCAGAATTACTGATTTTTTTAAAATGATGTGGGGCGAGGTATGGTAGTACACACCTGTAATCCCCGCACTTGGGAGGCTAAGGCGGGGTATCTGGCCAGCCTGAACTATATAGCAAGATCCTGTGTCAAAAAACAAAACAAAGCAAAACAAAAAACCACAAGCAAAAGAACATGATGTTGGGGGCTGATGCTGTAGCTCAGTGGTAGAATGCTTGCCTACTCTGCTCACAGCCCTAGATTTATTTCATCTCCAGCACTGCAAAATTAGTAAAAGAAAATCAGCAGTGCTGATGCCTCTGCTTCACGCTTTGGGACAGTTCTGCTTTGGCTCAGGAGACCCACAGAATGGAATGGAAAACACATGGTACCCTTTTCTATATCTGAGCCTTTCCCTCCTCAGCAAACCAAAGGCTTTCCAGAGCTTGCCTAAAGTGCTTACTCCCTTTCCTTCTTACTATTTACAAATAATAATCCCCCAGGGTCCAGCTAGTGTTCTCCTTTCCATGTAATCTGCTTCCACAGTGTGAAACATCGTTCCAGACAATGCCTTGGAAAAGACATAAATCCCCCTCCCCAGGGACTTGACATTTAGTAGAAAACAGTAGCAGATCCCTTATTCTCACAGTATTTATCCCTGTGCTATGTTGGGTCTGTTCCATGTACTTCGCTAAGCTCCTTGGGTGTAGACCTTATATGTTACTGCTTTTCTTTCATTCCGTACTAACTAGCACTTCAGAATTCTGCTAGCCCTGTTTAACTGGACAATTCCAGCCATATCTAACTTTAGCAAACTATTATGGTAACATTAAGGCTATTACCTTCTGTCTAAATTAGTGATTATTTCATCAGTGGTTTGAAGCTCCTTTAAAGTTCATACAGTGGCGTGAATTGTTAAGAGTGTTATTTTCTTCTGGCCTTGATTTCATCTGACAGCGAGGAGATGAGGCTTAAAAGAAAAAAGAGAAAGAGGAGAAATTACTGATTTTAGCATTTTTAAAATTCTTTTTGCTAGGTGTGATGGTTCATGCCTTTAGTTGCAGCTCTCAGGAGGCTGAGGCAGGAGGATGTTAAGTTCATGCCCAGTGAGCTGTATAGCAAGTTCAAGGCCAGACTGGACTACATAGTGAAAGTCTCAGAAAAACAAAAGGATGGGGGGAGTAAAAAGAATTGAGATTGTTACGCACGTGTACTAAGTCCCCCTGGTGAATGTGACCATTGTGTACCACAAACATGTATTAATAAAAATAAATAGAATTACTTTCCAATATGCTTGACAGTGGGGAAGAAAAATCCCCCCAGTGGATGAAACAGCAGTCCATCATATTTTGCTGTCAATAAAATCAGCACCTGATTGTTCAATCTGATTAATCAAACATATACAGTTATTTTCATATATTTAATAGCATACTTCACCCTCAACAATAAGTACCTATTAAATGTACAAGGCAGGGCTTTGAATATTGTGTAATATTTTAGAGTAACAGATATAATGTTGGTAAAATGACTGAATTTTTTTTTTTTTTTTTTTTGGTTTTCTCCGGTACCGGGAACCGAACTCACGACCTTGCATATGCCAGGCAGGCGCTTTTGCCGCTGAGCTAAATCCCCAGCCCCAATGACTGAATATTTTTGTTTGCTTTAGGGAACTTCAGTTTAAAAAGAAATAGGTATTAGCACAAACTTCCTTGGATAACTTTGTTTTTTAAGACCTGAATACTCCAAAGCACTCTCAGAAAGTGTTCTTAAACTCTTTAAATTCTAAAGAAACAAAATCACAATAAAAATTGTAATGCATTTTCTATCATATCATATTAGTTTTAGATTAGATGATACTCTGTAGTTGAAGAGCTGATACTCTATAGTCTTATAGTGTATGCCTTTTATAGTTCTTTGGTGCCTCTTACATGTTTTCAGAATGTACTGTGTGTGTTATACGTTTCAAACTGTAGAGGTTTGTTATTGTTGTGACTCTGCCTTTGTGCTTGCAATTGTCATATGTGTAATTTTTTGGATGTCAGATGAGTGGTTAAGACTGAACTCCTAAATAATAACCATGATTCTTGTGTAAGTACTGATACCTTGGCCTACCATCCCTGTAAGCAGGTGCAAGTCATTTAACTGCTTTAAACCATAGACACTCCATCTAATAAGTGGGGAACAGAATGCTTATTTAAGTGGTTTTTTTGTAAAGATTAAAAGAAGTGATTTATGATGCATATGAAAGGCATTTGTAGAGCACTTTATACTTGTTTATGAAATTTCAAGAAAATTGGCTTGTATGCCTCATTACAGTTTAAATGTTCATACTAGTTTCATATACCCCAATGTTTAAATCAGTTACCTTTGGTTTAGACCTTTGTTAAATGCTGAATTAAACAACTTATTTCGTGTCCTGTGCGTGTTCTTGGAAATATGTGCACTGTGCTAGTTACCTCTCAGTAATGACGGGGGGTGGGGAGCAGTCTGTGGCATTTGCTGTTTACCATGATGGAAATACACTCAGCACAGCCAATTCCAGGTTACCAGTGTGCCCTCAGCAGGGAATCAGTGAGGTGGGTGAGTCAGCTCTGGTGAGTTTATAGGGTCTGGCACTAGCGCGTGCTGTGCCGAGATGCATTTAGTTCTTAGATACGCATGGTATACAGGGGACATATTAATTATAGGAGGTTTTTAAAACTAATTTTTGATTTTAAAACGTTGAAAATATTTAACTGTCTCTGAAAGAAAAGAATTATTGGGCATGGTAGTCCCTCCCAGGACTCAGGAGGCTGAGGCAGGAGGATCAGTGTGAGTTTGAGGCCAGCCTGGGCTATGTAGTGAGTTCAAGATTAGCCTGAATTGCATACTGAGACCCTGTCTAAAAAAAATGAAAGAAAGGAATCTGAAGTCAGACCTGTGTCCTACACCTGACTGTACCCAACTGTCTCTGAATCTTGAGCAAGTCAGAGTACCTTTGAGAGCTTCAGTAAAACAAGCACAGCATAGGCTCTACCCCAGGAAGCAAAGACAGAGGTAAATGAAGTGCCTGGTATAGCTGACTTTTTTTTCCCAAAGGAATAGTATTGCTTTTATTAGTTTAGTGGCTATTTTTATCACCTTTGCATGATTCTAATTATATGTCAAACTGAGTTTTATATTTTTTTATTTTTTTAGCTGACATGGGTTTTGCCAGATTATTCAACTCTCCTTTAAAGCCACTAGCAGATTTGGATCCAGTGGTTGTAACATTTTGGTATCGGGCTCCAGAACTTTTGCTTGGTGCGAGGCATTATACAAAGGCCATTGGTAAGTTAGTGTAAAATGATTTACTCTCTTGGCATCAAGTTTTTATGAGAACCAATTGCATGATAAAATCATTGGGTAAAAACTACTTTATATCTGTTTGTAAATTTCCTGTCGTCCTCTATGTTCCTAGCTTTTATATTCTGGTAAATTTGGATTTTTTAATTGTATAGGAGAATGTGATTCCTTTACAACAAGAAAGCATTTCCGGAATTTCCAAGGATAGAGGCATCTGATCCTGTTGAGTTGCTATGGAAACAATAACATACAAATATTATAACTTACCTTATTTTTTTTTTTTTGGTTTTTCTGCGGTACCAGGAACCGAACTCACGACCTTGCGCTTGCCAGGCAGGCGCTTTTGCCACTGAGCTAAATCCCCAGCCCTATAACTTACCTTATTGATCAGCAGGACTAGAGATAGGTTAAGAAATACTTCTTCAGAAAAAGAAAAGCAGAGAATCAGAGGTAGTAAATCCAGTATTGAAGAGAACTTCTGTTTGGGGAAACATAGTCACTTCCTTTCCTAAGCAAGAAATATGACTCATCTTTATCGCTTGCCACTAGAGCTACCAGAGTGGCAGTTTCTCTTTTAATGTGGGAAGTAGTCTTTGTAGGTTAGCAGTGCTCAGCTGCTTACCATTTTACCAAGGAGGGTGAATAATGCAAGAAACCTGTCGTAAGCCAGGTGTGGGGGTGTGTGCCTGTAACCCCAGCACTTAGGAAGCTAAGGCAGGAGGGTCCCTTAAGTGTAGGAGTTTTTTTTTTTGTTCTGTGTTTTGTCTTTTTGAGGCAGGGTCTCGCTGTGCAGTTCAGGCTGGCCTTGAGCTCACTTTGTAGCCCAGGCTGGTCTCGAACTTACAACAATCCTCCTGCCTCAGCCTCTTGAGTCCTGGGATTACAAGTGTGCGCCACCACGCCTGGCTAAGTGTAGGAGTTTGAGACCAGCCTCGGCAGAAAAACAAAACACTGTCTCAAAAAAAAAGAGAGAGAGAGAGAGAAATTGTTATAAACGTGTTCTCTAAGCGTTAATGTCTGCCTTACAATAGAGGACATAACCTCTTCAGAGATTTTGCTCCCTGGTCACTGCAGTCTCCTCAGAGGACCCAGACTGACAGCAGAAGAGAGCCCTCGCCAAGCCTGGAGACTTCTTTGAGGGAGTGAAAACAAAGGGTAGGAAAAGCGCCAATAGCTGCTGCTTGAAGGTCTGGTTCTGTGAAATACCTCATATCCTAAGTATTTCTTTAGACTGTCTTCTTCTGGGAGTCTTGTGTTTATTGGTATTAGGCTATGTCAGTTCTGACTACCTTTCACTGTTTCCTTTGAGTTTATGTAAAGGGCACTAAAATAAGTTATTAAAAATGGACAAGTTCAGGAGGCTGAGGCAGGAGAATCACCACAAGTTGGAGGCCAGCCTGAGCTATATAGCAAGACCTTGTCTCAAAAAAAAAAAAAAAAAAGACAAGTAAGCACAATCCTCTGTTAAACAAAGTTGTGAAAAACCTGGTGATATCCACAGATCTACAAAGGAAGTGCTCACATTTGGGAAGATTAGACTGCTTTGTGGGTAAGAAAGAAAGGCAGATTAAAATATAGTCATGTCCTCATTTATCAGGAGGCCTTATTTCTGCAAAACTCACTCAGTGTATATTTTGCTCAGGGACTGAGACTCCAGCTAGTACTAGGATATTGCACATATTTCATGAATACTGCTGAATGCTGCTTTTAGGTTGGTTGGGCTGGGTTCGGTTGGGTTCAGTTTTGTTGTACCGTGAAACCCAGGACTTTCACACAAAGCTGCATCCCTGGCTGGCTGGCTTGCTTGTGCTGTTTCTCTCTCCTCCCCGTCCCCTCCCCCCACCTCCCCTGTCCTCTGGACAGGATCTCACTAAGTTCCTCAGGCTTGACTTGAATTTGCAGTCTTCCTGCCTCAGCCTCCCAGAATACTAGGATTTTGGATGTGCACCACCATGCCTGTCTTGAATCCTTTTTTCTTTTTAATTAGTGGGAAAGCCTCTTGAGTAGTCTCAGAACTGTGGGGAAAACCAGTATGTATTAGTAGAAGGATGTGGAGACTGGCATTAGCCTCTTACCCAGGCAGTCAAGCACTTAGTAAAGTAGCGGATCTATCAGCAGGGGACAATGGCAGCTGTCTGATGAGGGCGGAGAAAGAACTACAGAAACAAATGCAGGGGATGGAGTAGTCCTGCAAGGAGGAGCTAGAATCACAGTTTGAAACTCTTTCTATTCCAAGTGACTTCTGCTGTAGCGCTGTATTTACTGAGACATTTAGAATTAAATTTACCTTTTCTGTTATTTTGGTCTCTTCTTTCCAACTATTGGGAACGGTCTGATCAGTCTTAGTCTCAGGGGCACCAGAGGGTAGGAAGAGAGTGAACTAAGCCAGGAGAGGGGCTGTGCTAGCTGGAAATAACAGGTGGTGCCTTACAACCCGCCGAATGGTGCGTGCGTGTGGGGTGTGGGGTGGGGGAAGAGGATGCTGGATCAGTAGACATCTGCGTTCCCCGGGCCCTCATCCTCCAGCCTGTGTCCAGCTCACACTGGGCCAGAGCCTTCTGTTAAGCTAGGTAGTTCCCCACCGAAGGCAGCCTCATTCTCAGGTTCTCACACGGCAGGTCTGTGGCCGAGACCCATTTTGTAGCATACACTCATAGGCAGCAGTGCTCTGTATGACGCACACTTAGAGAAGCACAGTTTCATGACTATTTTCTGATTAACTTCTCTACTGATAAAATTAAAATGGGTGTGGATTTGGAAATAGAATTGGGTATAAACTGCAAACAAGTGTGTTTCTCATTTTCTCAGAGTAAGTAGAACTGAAATTTCTACCAGCTTGCAACTTACTTGCTCAGTAAATGCGGCTTAACCACATAAAGATAAAAACATAATCACTAATTTCTAATTTTAGTCAAGTCTGCATAATTTCAATAGAACCTAGGAGAAAAGACAGAAAGAGTAATCTGTGTCAGTTATCTTTGGGTTTGAAGTAGTCCTAGCAGACATACAGAAGTACGCTCAGATTCAGCCACTCTGCTCTTTGTAACTGATCCATGTCAGAAGTAGTTGTTTCTCTTCAGCACAAAGGAGAAAGACCTTGATGGTTTGATGTCACTGCAGTGACAGTGATGGTAGCTGCACTGCTGTGGGGGTGGGTGGATGTGGATGTGTGTCAGGAGAACAAATGATTGACCAGGGAAAGAGACCTCAAGAGAATTGGTATAAATGTTGCAAGAGCCAGACAATTTGATGGTTTGGTCACATTTAGAATTTAAAGCTAATATGAGGCAGGAAACGATGTAATACTGCTTGCTACTTGGAGGTTCTTTATTTTAGCAATTCACATGGAATCTAGAACCTGACTCCTGTCCTTTGAATAGAGGTTAGAGCAGGCATTGGGATGAGCCACAACGTGCAGTGATAGTCCCAAGTGACTGTACAGTGAAGCAGCGAGGAGGAGGAAGAGGAGGAGTAGGAGGAGGAGGAGGCAGGGCCTTCGGAGGCAAGAGTGACAGCCGGCATGGTGCAGGTGCGAGAAAGGGAGGAGGGGACGCTGCAGATATCGCCGCATCACTCCTTAGTGATGGCTGCGGGTGGTGATGATGACCTTGACTGGTCAGTGAAAAAGACGAAATTACGTTTTATATATAGCCTTCAGCCTTCGATGGGGCAGGTGATGGGGTAACACAAAAGGGCTAGGAAGGGGTGTGCTCCTGCTCTTCAGGAGGCTGGCTTACACGGGAGGAAACTCTCTGAATGGGGCCAGACAAGAGAGGCATTACTGTAGTTTTTTTCTTCCAATTTGGAAATTTATTTTACAAATAGTACATTGACAGTTACCCTATCTAATTAAGCTGTTGCTATTTAGTTTATCTCTGGAATATGATTCTCATATTTCATAGATTACTGAATGCTATACTGCCCTGTATAATACCATATTCCTAGCATTATTATTTTCTTCCTTTTAAAAAATACTTGAGCCAGGTGTGGTGGCACACGCCTATAATCCCAGCACTCAGGAGGCTGAGGCAGGGGGATTGTTGCAAGTTCAAGACCAATCTGGGCTACAAAGTGAGCTCAAGGCCAACCTGAACTGCACAGCAAGACCCTGTCTCAAAAAGAACCCCCATCCAAAAAAAAAAAAAACTTACTAGATGGCATTTTTGTAATGGGCAAATGTGAATATACATCTCACAAAAGTTAACTCCTTTATACATTGAGTAAAGCATTGTGAATACATTACAGTTCCAGAATATAAATTGTAGTATTTCAGTATATAAAAGACAATAGAATAATCTATAATTAGTGACTTAGTTAATAAAATCTTGTTTTGCAATGTTGGGGTCAAATCCAGGGCCTTGAGCATGCACAGCAAGTACCCTACCATTGAGTTACATCCTCAGCCCCTAAGAAAGCTTTTTTCCTCCCAATAAAACTTTGAAAGATACCTCACTTTGTCCTGGGGGATGGAAGCAGGTGGGTGCATCATCTAAGTGAATATATTTTGATCAGATCTACCTACTGTTGTTATTCTATGCCTGTATATACTTGTATTATTTATCAGCTTGTAGACCTTAGCCTTCGTTGAAAAAACTGAGGGTGGCAATCTTCCTTTTATTGTCTTTCTAGAGTCAACCCATCTAGACTCAAAAACTATTACTCTTCTCATTGTGCATTTAATTACTTTAAAGGAATTGTATCACCGTGTTACGGTCATGTCATGATGTATCAGTATGATGAAGTTGCTTCACATGAGTTACGCTCTATACTAGGTTATCAGTCAAATGCTTCCATGATTAAATTATTAACTGATTAGAAAGATTTTTTGCTTAGTCTAGAGAAGTCATTTTTTGGATGATAGATATTGGGAAGTAGGAAGAGAATGTTCAGATGGGAAGGAGAACAAGGGAGAGGGAAAGGAGAAGGGAAGGAGGGAATAGGGATTTAAAAATGGAAGGAAAACAATAGAAACAATGTTTTATAAAGGGAGAAGGGGAGAAGGATTGAAGCGAAGGAAATGAGGGAAAAAAGTTAAGACATTCTGTACAGATGCACATTCTCTATGGTGAATGTGATCATTATGTACCTCAAAAAGTGTACCAAAAATATTTTCGAAAAAGAGAGGAAAAAAAGTCATTTTTGAGCTAGGTGGGTGGTACAGGCATGTAATCTCACCATTTGGGAGGCTGAGGCAGGAGGGGCCAGACTTCAAGGCCAGACTGGACTGTAGAGTGACACTCTTAAAAAACAGAAGAAAAGAAAAAAGAAAATAATCCACTGCTTGCCGTGTTGCTTTTTCCTAAATTTGCCTACGTCAGGAAATTTACATATAAATGTTTTTATTTGGCTTCCAATCTGTTACGTGATGATAGTTATTTCATATCACAAACATACTGTGTGTGTTTTCTTAATACACTTATTATGCTTTGTATATTGTTTCACTGAAAAATGTTCTTTTATTTATGTTGGAATTATTCCAGAAATTATAACTAAGGAAATGTAACACATTGTACAAAAACGTGTTTTTTCTGCTTCATAGATATATGGGCAATAGGTTGCATATTTGCCGAATTGTTGACTTCAGAACCCATTTTTCACTGTCGTCAGGAAGATATAAAAACAAGCAATCCCTTTCATCACGACCAGCTGGATCGGATATTTAGTGTCATGGGGTTTCCTGCAGGTAACAAATTTTCCTTTTCACAATTATATTTGCCGTTGTATTTCAGAACTATTCCTTTTCAGAAGTATATTTAAAGTATATTTATGTCTACTTTTAAACTAAAACAAGTAGATTTTAAATAGGTTAACATGTTATTTTCTGTAACAATATTCAATTTGTTCTTCTGTTTTCGGTAAGATAAAGACTGGGAAGATATTAGAAAGATGCCAGAATACCCTACACTTCAAAAAGACTTTAGAAGGACAACGTAAGTACCTCCCTATTGTCTTAGTCCAGTGGCAGCAGACCTATGACATGCATCCCACAGTGGGCTATTTGTATCACTGGAAGCTCTAAAAGGTTTGCCATCCCTGTCTTAGTCCATTTGTGCTGCTATTTTAAAAAGACATTACTTAGGGAAATGTGTAGAAAACAGAAATGTATTTTCTCCCAGTTCTGGAGGCTGGGAAGTCCCAGATGAAGGTGTCTGCAGTTCAGTGTCTGGTGCAGGCTGTTCTGTTTCCAGAATGGTGCGCTGTTGCTGTGCCCTTGTGTGCTGGGAGGGAGGAGGGGTGAAGGCTGTGTGAAGCCTCTTTAATGAGACACAAATGTGTCTGCATTTTTGAGGACACAACCCTCTACTACCTGACAGCCTCCTGAGGGCACCAGCTGCTAACACTGGTACAGTAGGTAATAGCCTTCAACTAATTGTAGAGTAGGTATAAACAGTTAAACCATAGCATTAATTATAGGTCATACCCTAAATAAGAAAGGTTAAACTAAATTTTTAAAAAACAAACTGTAGTTTATTATTTAAATTAGAAACTTCAAAGTCAGGTGTCATTTTGTATGCTAGTAATCTGAGCACTCAGAGGCTGAACCAGGAGGATCACTGTGAGTTTAAGACCAGCCTGGGTTATATAGTGAGTCCAGGCCAGTCTGAACTGCATAGCAAGACCCTGGCTCAAAAAAAGAAAAAGAAAAAGAAAAATAGAAAAAAACCTGAAATTTTAGTGTATTAATTATGGCCATGATTTGAGGATTATATTCCAGATGCAGGTAACATATATGCTTAACTTAGGCCATAATATTTAGAAGCTTTTAAGAGTTTCAGGGTCAGTAGACAGTTTGTATATTCTGGGTTTTTTTGTTGTTGTTGTTCGTTTGTTTGGGGTTTTTTTTGTCTTTTTGAGACAGAGTCTTGCTATGCAGTTCAGGCTGGCCTTGAGCTCACTTTGTAGCCCAGGCTGGCCTTGAACGCAAGGATCCTGATCCTCCTGCCTCAGCCTCCCGAGTGCTGGAATTACAGGCATGCACCACCACGCCCAGCTTGTATATTCTGTTTTAGTGTGATAAAGATTTTGTTCAAGGCCACAGTTGTGGATCTGTCCTTACCTGAGTAGTGACTAGTGGTTGAACCGCTGGATTGAGGAACCAGGAGGATGGCAGAAATGACCCATGACCCAGGAACTGAGTAAAACAAACTGGTAGAGACATGGATGTTGAGTAGAGAGAAGAGAAGAGGTGATGGAGGGAGGGGAAGGAAAGACAGCAAGCGGTGGGAAGGAGTTATTAATATCCGTGCCTAGACTGGGTGTGGTGCATACCTCTAATCCCATTACTTAGGAGGCTGAGGCAGGAGTTGGCAGTGATTTCGAGGCCAGCTTGGGACCACATAGTGAGTTCAGCCTGAACTATGTAGGGAGACCTTGTCTCTTAAATCTGTAGATACAGATATATAGAAAACCAGGTATGGTGATGCATACTCCCAGTTCCAGCTACTTTAAGGCCTAAAGTAGGAGAAGGCTGCAAGTTTAAGGCCAGCTTAGTGGACCCTGTCTCCAAGTATTAAAAGGGGGCTACAGGTGTAGCTCAGGGGTAGTGCATCTACCTAGCTGTGCACTGAGATCAATCCCCAGTACTAAAAAAAGCAAAAAACAAAAACCCAACCAAACAAAAGTTTTATTTATTTATTTATTTATATATATATATAAATTTTTTAAGTGAAACTATCTGGTGTTGGCAAGCGTACAATAAGAATGGTATTCTTCTGGTAAGAATGGGGACTTCTCAAACTTGTATATACCTAAAAATCATTTGGAGACCCTGTTAAAAATGTAGATTCTAGCCAGGTGTGGTGGCATATGCCTGTAATCTCAGCACTCAGGAGGCTAAGGCAGGAGGATCACTGGTGAGTTCAAGGCCAGCCGGGGCTACATAGTGAGTTCAAGGTGATCCTGAGCTACATACTGAGACTCTGTCTCAAAAAAATAAAAAACAACAACAAAAAAAATGTAGATTTGGAGCCAGTAATGACAACACATACCTATAGTCCCAGCTAGTTAGGAGCCTGAGACAAGAGAGTCGCCTAGGAATATGAGACTGTCTTGGGCAACAGCGAGACCCACACCCCGCCATCTCAAAAAGTGAGAAATAGGGCCTGGTGGTACACACCTGTAATCCCAGCTCTGGGGAGGCTGAGGTAGGAGGGTTGCTGTGAGTCTGAGGCTAGCCTGAGCTACAGAGTGAGCTCAAGCCAGCCTGAGCTGCATAGCAAAACCCTGTCTCAAAAAGACCAAAATATAATAAGAATATTGTTATTGTATGCTGATACGGATGTGCAACAATATGTACCTGGATAGAGAATTCCTGACTCATGGGATATAGTAATTTTCAACTTTAATGGTTAATTTTCCAAAATGATTTGTTTGCTTGGGGTTTTGGGTTTTTTTTTTTTCTGGTACCAGGAATCGAACTCAGGACCTTACACTTGCCAGGCAGCCGTTTGTGCCCTGAGCTATATCCCAGGCCTCCAAAATGATTTAATAATACAGGCTTTCAAATGCGGGGTATTATAATTGTTTTCTCACACATTTGCCAATATTTGATAATGTTTCTTTTTATCAGAAAAAGCAATGGCTTAAACACATGCTTTATAAGAAAACCAGTCTAGGAGCTTTTCATTAAGAAATACAAATTGAGTGTGTGTTCCATTGACATGTGGCCATGCGTGTCCTTGCAGGTATGCCAACAGCAGCCTCATCAAGTACATGGAGAAACACAAGGTCAAGCCTGACAGCAAAGTGTTCCTTTTGGTAGGTGCTTCTCTCCCACACAAGTCCGACCTTAGCAAACCTCGTCTAATCCTGTTTCCTGGGGAGCTGTCCCAGCTCGTCCTCCTTCAGAAATAAAAGGAATTTGTGGATACCGGGGTGACATTTAAGTACTTCTCTAGAGATGTCCACCTTGATTTCTGGGCTGAATTTTTTAAATGATTTATCAGCAGAAAAAGGACTTTCAAGGGGCTGTAATGCGCTTTCTGCCGTGTTCACATAATGTGTATACACTATACAGTATAAAATATACTTGAAACCTGTTAGACGTTCCTTTCTGAAAGGTCAAGACCGGGACTTGGAAGCAGACGTTTCATGGCTGTCGGTTTCTTACGTGCTCTTTTCTAGCTTCAGAAACTCCTTACCATGGATCCAACCAAGAGAATCACCTCAGAGCAGGCTCTGCAGGACCCCTACTTCCAGGAGGACCCCTTGCCGACGCTGGAGTACGTAGGCCCTTCATCCAGCCGGGGGCCGCCGGCCCGGGGGGAGCGGGGCCGGCTTGTACCC